ACTATTATTAGTGGTGGTGGTTTTGTTGATGCAGCAAGCGCTACTTGATTCTACCCATGAGGAATATTTACATTTATGTTTTCTTGTGATTTCTTGCTTGATGCTCCAGCCATCAAATGCCCAGGCTTAAAATCCTAGCCGATAATTGTAGAGGCAAGGTATATTACTTCACTTAGAATGAGATGTTATTAAAATTTCTAATAATATTTCTTTGCTTTGACCAGGCAGCCTGGGCCTCATGTATAAAAACAGGAATACAGCTAAGAAGAGGACAAAAGCAGGACTTAAACGCTTCTCCAGGACTGATCAACGAAATAAGACTGTTGGACTCTTTCTTTTTGTTGACATCCTAAATATCCAAGCATATTCGGTACCAGCTGGGATGAACCAAGTTCTCCCACTTGTCTAGCTTGCACTGTAAACAGTTTTAAAGACCAAAGTTCAGTGACACTACTAACTACTGGTAGAGCTGCCCTCAGCAATGCTAGACAAAGCTCTCTTTCCTCTCTATCTGCACTGGGATACTCCCTGCACAGAGCAAGCAATTGGCAAGTTGGGACACGGACCAACCCAGCCAGCTCTGTCTTCTTAGAGGGACGTTTAAACATACCAAGGATGTTTGGCCAACAGATCTCTTGAGTATAAAACTCCTTTATTTATATTATAATTCTTGAGTTGAACTACTATTTCAAACAAGTTTAACTGTATACTTCACGATAATAAACACATATTTATCATAGTTCAGGTGGGTAGAAATAACATACCCGAAGAAGGCTTCACAGCCGAAACATTGTGTTTACTTTCTTGTCTTTTCAGCATGGACTAAAACTATTACTTGCTCCTTTACATATTTATCATTACATGTATCTGAAAATATGAATGCGATGTAATTATATGAGACTGATAAAACATATGAGCTAAGCTATAACACATGTTATGTTATAGGCTATACATAGTATGTTAACACTTAAGTTTTTCAATCTAAATTTTGCAATTCCTGAGTGAACGATCAGTATCTCTTTCATATCGCTCTAGTTTTGTCATGTTCTAGTGTTGTACCAGTAAATTGTACATTGTATATACATTCTTATGGGACTGTAATTTATGACAAACACCATCCATACAAAAACAATTCCCTGTCTCTGCTCATACATGGAATGGAAACTACTGCGTTTTGGAGCACAGTTTTAAATGATTTAGAATTAAGGAACAAGTAATAGGTTTATTCCATGCTGAAAAAAAGAAGAAAGAGAACACAACGTTTCGGCCGTGGAGCCTTCTTCAGGTGTGGTCCACACCTGAAGAAGGCTCCACGGCCGAAACGTTGTGTTCTCTTTCTTCTTTTTTTCAGCATGGAATAAACCTATTACTTGTTCCTTTGCAGCCTACGCATGCTGACGCAGCTACCCACCTGATTTAGAATTATGCAGATATCGTTTTATTACATATTTTATTTAGATATTACGTTCACGACAATACTCTAAAGAAACAGAGTACTGGTAAATGTATGTAACCTCAGGTTAATGACCAGTCGTTAACTGCTTTCTTCCCACAACTGTTTCAGCATTTATCCCTGGTACAGTATGTGCCCTGCTCTTATTCAGCTTTTTTAACTGAACGTCTCCCTTCATTGCTGATGAACTTATTAATTTGGACAGGAGTTAGAGGGGTCATTTGTTTGGACTTCTGACCCCTGGTTCCTGCCTGACATGTTCCCCCCAAAACTGTGCTAATCACTACTAACTGTGGCAATCAGCCTGGAAAGATGGAACAGCAAGGTGTAATATAGTTTTGTCTTCACAAACAAAGCTGTTAATCCATCCTATCATCATTCCTGCTGTACTGAGCAACAATTTAGCACTGCTTTTTGTACTGTGAGTTAAAGAACGGGTGAGACTAGGATCCTTAATAATACAGTCGAATATAAAATCCATATATTTCTTTAAGCTTTAAAATCCATGAAACTGACTGAAAGAGAACTAAAATTATCTGAGGGTTACAGTGGACTGATGGTTGCATTTGATGACATGTTTTTCCACTTACTTCAGAGCCATGGGGATGAAAGATATTCTAACTCATGTTCCTCATATGAAAGATGCAAGGAGCATGCATAATAAACAGCTGCAGTAATTTAGGAAAGGAAATTCATACATACATGACTGTATTGATCCCAGACAGCTGCTGGAACATCTGTAATCCACAACCTACAATGAGAGCTCTTCGAGCAGGGGCATAGGTTAGCATCCTCCATATCACCAGTCCACCTGAAAGAAGCCAAACACAACATACAGTATGTTAGTATGTTTTACATAGAAATATAATGAAGTATGAAGATGCATACATCTCTACATATATCGAAAACTAAAAACAGATGTCATTTTAAAAGACAATAAGAGATCACAATCAATAAGTCTTTAATTAATTTCTGTATACAAGTTTTCAGAACACTCAAAGGCACTGATAAAATCAACATTGTGTACATACAGTACAGTACTTAGTTAACAGTGAAAAACAAACCCGAGGACACGAGTAGAAACTCATACTATATTTCTTTTGTACAATGACCACCTTTTTCAATTACAGTTTAAAAATAATCTATTATGAATAGGAACTCAGCTAGCTAAAACTCTACAAGTAATATAGTACATTTTCCTTTTTAGCTACTCATATGGCACATATTAACCAACCACAATACAATGTACTTGTGGTTTACAACCCACTCTAAAGTACAGACAACATGCCAAAATAGGAAAGTAAGAGATCCTGATAACTGAAGACTCACAACAAAACTGTGAAACAGGTCAAGAAGTGGGGAGTCAAAATAGTGTCAAATAAACAACTACCAAACAGCTTTTTACAGTATTGTACAGTATGTCTCTGTATTATTATTCTTATTATTATTATGATTATGATGATTATAACTATTATTAGTGGTGGTGGTTTTGTTGATGCAGCAGCGCTACTTGATTCTACCCATGAGGAATATTTAAATTTATGTTTTCTTGTGATTTCTTGCTTGATGCTCTTTGTTCCAGCCATCAAATGCCCACGCTTAAAATCCTAGCCGCTAATTGTAGAGGCAATAACAATTCCCAGAAAGCAAGAAGGGATCCATTCTTTACCACCACCACTCCAAAACTTTCAAAAATTCCTATCAAATGCAGGTGGATTTTATCACAGCCCTCCTGTATTAACACAGTAAGACATGAGGAAAGGCCTAAATCCAAGTCCTGCTCCATCCAACCCTGGCTGCAAACCTCAGACCAAGTCCATTATATTATTATTCAGTTTCTTCATCAACTTTTTTATCATAAAGCATATATTTACATCACTGTATCTTTATTTTTTTAGGTTGGGGAGAAATTTATAATCCTTTGTGCCATAACTTACCATGTGGCCATTAATGACATTAAAGTACACTTTAAAAGCAGATGAAAACCTCAAATACAGTAGTCATACTAAAAAAACACCTAAAAAGATCCATACCAACTTTTTTAATGTTACATTAGTTGCATAAGGAAATTCTGTGTTTGAGAGCAGATTAAAAAAAAGCAATGTTTATGCTAAAAGAGCTAAATCAAAACAAGGCCTGTATTAAATCAAAACCCAAATCCACCCACCAGCAGAGAACTAAAAAATCTTACTCCTATAAATAATCTACAAAGGTACTCAAGGGTGAGTTTCCAGAGCTTCATTCTACCAAGGAGACATTGTTGAAAGATACTTGAGCATCACATCTAGCTATCAAATACCATTTGCTGGGAATATAGGTCACTGCTACGGTTGTCAGAAGAGGTCCCAATTTCTTTTGAACTAGGAGTGGTCCCATCACTCACTTTTTTCTTCCTGGGGGAGGAAGGATTCTTTTTGCTAATTTTTCTCTTTCTGGTAATGGTGTGTGGTGTCATTCTAACACACTGGAGATTACCACTTAGTACTATTGCATATATTTTAAAGACAAAGGCACTATTGTTGAGTCTCACTCACCATCAGCAGCAAGAAAAACAGAAAAACAGGCACTGAAAACTTAATATGGACACAGCCGTGACCAGTTTTGTCAGTGTAGAACCTTCTTACGTAGATATAAGAAATGTCTAGCAAAAAGATGCTATCACGTATCAGTTGGGATTTGCAACTTGTGACCGTAAATCAGCCAAATATATGGCATAAACCAAGACTAAATGGAGTGAAAGGGTGGCAACCAGTACTTTTCGAACTCTTCTGTGGATGCTTTCAGAGAGTTTAGGATGAAATCTTAAGACTCTAATATGGGTTTAAACCATTCATTGTCTAGTAGATCGCTCTCTCTTTCATATAGCCTATTTTTTAGTCAGCTTCAGGTATTCAGTTTAATCTTTCTTCATAAACATGTACAATAGCTTGGTAAATATACAATAGTATATGCCAATTAATGAACATGTTACATGGGATTCTATTCGAAACCCATTAAATGAACAAACAGTATTAAAGTCAGTTATACAAAGCTCTCAGTAGACTGTTATTTAGTGTCATCCAATTACAAACCAAATTCAAATTCATGAATTGTTGCGTGGTCTATTATATTTATGCCTCATCCACTGAGTAAATTGATCTTTTCAAACTAATGGTAATTTAATTCTATTCAATAGACAGTTTTACTTAACCAATGCGCTACAAGCATGTACAAAGCAGTTTTGAATGGCTTTTCTTACAATTACATTTCAATGAACATGCATCTGTCTAGAAAAAGAAGAAACTGTGAGGAGTAGCTGGTGCTTTAAAATAATAATGAAGAATATGAAAACATAATGACCACAGAAAACAGCCTGATGATCACAGTACATTAGATGAGAAAATTGTTTTTTTTGTTCATAGTCTTTTAGTATTTAACCAAAAAAACATGTTTTAATACTTTTATTTTACTATTGTTATCAACCTTAAAGGTGATGATTTAATTTGCTAAAACTACAGAAGATTTTACAATCAGCAGGTAAAAGGTAAAGCTGATAATTTAAAATGTATATATTTCTAGAGACACCATCCTCAGCTTTCCTTATACAAAAGAATGTAAAAAACATGCAGAGTTCTTTCTTCCTTTTAGATCACAGTGTTTGATTAAACCATGCAAAGGCTTTTTCTTTTAAATCACAGTTTATTTTTAAATCCTTAAATATCAAAAGCAGACATAACAATGTAATTTTATTACAAAGCAAAATATTCAAGAAAACAGGAATGCTGTTTACTTTCTTTTTTACACTTGGTATAATAAGGATAATACTTTTTATTTAAAGGCGAACTGCAATGCTATTTTTATATTTATTGATTAGAAAGAATGAGAATTGAGCACGAGTGCATTATAAACCACAATAAAAGTAAAATGTACAAGGTGACTTGTAAAATCTCCAATTTACATCACAAAAAAGATTACATTTCTAGGAATGTGCAGCCCATATTGTGCGATTACATTGTAATCAATCAGGCTTCTGAAGACATGTCTTTTAATCCAATAGAAATGTTACTTTTGATTTCAAGGTGGATTGGCCGACAAATACTACTTACTTGGTAACTCTGCATGCAGATCACATTGTAACATTTCTGCACAACCTGTACTTATTCACATGTATAGTACATCACATTACATTAGTCATTACGGTGACTAGTGAGCAGGAAGGGCTGCATCATGTCACAATTAGTGGGAATTTGAGTGAGAGTTTGCGACAACTTGATGACTTACAGTACTTTCACAAAGTTCACGATTTTGTGCTTAATTCCAAATTTGTATTTTTTTTCTATAATGTCAATAAACTCATTTTGTTACTGAGATTTAATAACCAGTCTGAGAGTTTGGGATTGCAGTTCCCCTTTAAATGCAGGTAAATTTTCTAAAACAAAAAACACACAAATGTCAATGCACTGCTGTTTATCCAGCGAACATCCATTTTCAGAATATTTTTTTTGCAAAAAAAAAACATTGGTGACTATCGGGCAGTTTTAAAAGTTATATGCTCCTAAACAATCTACTTAGTCATGATCCCCTTCATACTGCCCACTTATTTTTAAGTCAACAACTATAATAATTGAGAGAAAATAAAGTATTTACATTATGTTTTGATCAATAAGTTTCCTCTAAGGCTAAGTAATGCTATTATGCATCTATCACTCAATAAAAATTAGATTATACGATCTATAAATACAGTGCAGTGGTCAGTACTGATTCCACCTAATAAATAAGACAAGCATATATGAATGAGGAAGGAGAAGTGAATTTTATAATGAAAAGCAAAACAAAAATGAATAATTAGTAATAAAAATGGTAAAGAACAGAATGCTTCCTCAATGTGAGACTAACCTCTTCGTGTTCCTTTGCAGCCTACTTGTTGATCCAGCTCACTATGTCAATACTAGTGACTCAATTCAACATTACTGAGGATGAACAACACCCTCAAGTGTCTAAAAATTACAGAGGAGATTACTGCATCCAACATTCTATTCCTTTAGCATCAGTAATTTTGTAATTCTCAGACTTTTGTATTCTAAAATTGACATTGGAACAAGAATTTAGCATTACAGATTAAAAGTAATAATAACTGAGATCCGCAGCCTTAAGGTAACAAAAATCTTAAAATCATAATACTGGTTGAATGTAAGAAATAATTAATAAAATAATTATGTTTACCACACGTTGAAAAGGCATTAAATTATTAAATGTGATATCTAATCATCCTGTAAATCAATTCGACTCAAGCTGGGTGCTATTTTATCTTGTATGCTGCTATGATTAGTGTATGCTGAGCCTATAAAAACAGCAAGTGGACATACTTTATACAGTATCTTCTGTTTTCTTCCCTATAGAATAACATTTGTGTACTTTTACCTCTATGTTTATCACACTGAATCCATCCATCCATTTTCTAACAGCTTAATCTAATTCAGGGTTGTGGGGGAACCGGAGCCTAATGCCACAAGCAATGGGAGCAAGGTGGATGCCAATCCATCGCAGGGCAGACACAGACACAGACATGCACAGACCCACAGCAGTGCCAATTTTCCCCAAAAAATCCCATTAACCTACAAGTATGTTTTTGGACTATGAGAGGAAACTGGAGCACCTGGAGAAAACTAAGCAAATATAGGGAGAATGTACAAATCCCATTCCCATCCCTATTCATTAGTATTGCTCTCAGAAAAGCAAAAGATTAATAACAAGTTAAACATCATTATCAAAAGCATTTTTATACAGTATAACAAAAAATAAAGGAAAATACATGTATAGTATGTGATGAAA